TTGTAGGCCTGGGTGGGTCAAGCACCAGGGCAGCCCTTCCCTGCACTGCTTCAGCCAGTCTGTGTCATCCCATGTCACTGTGGCACTTGTGCTGCTGCAGTCGAGGACTTCTCCTGTGCAAGGCCCGCAACCCTGGGCATCTGTCTGCGCCTTGCTCAAGCTGACCCTTGTTCTCCAAGCATGCAGAAGGGTCTCTGGTGCTCAGAAAGGTCTCCAGTATTCAGCCTTAGCTCATGAGCAGCAGGTCCCAAACAGGAAGAAGTTGACTGCTGAAGCAGAAATGTAGCAGGACTCGAGCTCCTGGCAGTCCTCTCCGTGCCCGCAGTGGAAGGCAGAAACTTAGAACAGTGCACCTAGAAAAGGCCGAGAAGTCCCTGATTGCACTGGCTGCTTCTTGGCAAGTTCTTCTCCCATGCTGAAGCTGTTGCTTGCAGTAGAAGGGAGAGAAATGCTCCTTGAGCAGGGATGTAGGTGACCCCAGGCTCTTCTTTCTGCTGCTTGCTTGTTCATCCTGTCTTAGCGCTTCTGCTCGGGCACTCACAACCTCGTCTCTCCCCTAGCTCACCTGGGTCTGCTGAAGTTCCTTGTGAGGAGAGGGCCTCTTAGGCCTGAGGAACCCACCAAGGTTCCAAGGTCCAGCTTTGGCAGAAGAGATATTCTTGCTGTATTCAGTTCACCACAAGGGCTGTGGCATCCCACCGGCTTCTGCTCCCATCCGGATCTGAGTCCCTTGCCAGCTGTAAAACCTTCCTCAACTTTTTCTGCTCTGCTGCCCTCTTAGGTGGGACCATCCGGGGTTGTTCCCATTCTCCCATACCACTCAGCCCACCAAACCCAGCCCATCCCAGCAAGAGCTTTTCCTCTTCCCCTGCCATGCCTATCGCTGCGCTCCATCCTTTGCACTGACAGCCAGCTGCCAGCTGGGGAGCAGGGAAAACTGCTGTGTCTGGACATGACCTTAACCTGGGCTTTATTTAGTGCCTTGATTTACAGAAGAGTTATTTTCAAAGCGTGTCCCTCCTCCAGGAGGTGTGGTGAATGTGTGGCACAGGCACTGGAGTTTAGAGGCTTCCTGTGTTATTTACAAAAAGCCCTTGAGTCCCAAGACCGTTTCTGCTCGGGGAGAGGTTTTCTGGGTTGTCTGGAGAGCGTTCCTGTTTATTTTTGTGCCTGAAAAGGAGCGAGTGTCCGGGGCCTTTCCCAGGAGGACGAGGTGGCAATGCTCTTGGAGACGGGAAGCGTGAGCTGCGCCATGCCTGCAGGAGGCTGCTTTGTGCAGGTGGCATCTGTGCCAGCCTCTGGGTTAGGCCTGTCCCTTGGGAACTGCCGGGTGGGAGCCCAGCATGAGGTTTTGTTGCTCTGTGCAGCCTGGGTGAAGAAGGATCTGATCTGGGGACCAGGGACAACCATGGGCTGTATGGACAGGTGTCACCAGGAAGGATGTGCACCCAAGGGAAGCACTTTTCGCCTGTGGGAGCTCTTTGGCCCTTGATAACAACATCTTGGAGACAGCCTGAGGCCTAGGACAGCTTAGTTCATCCTTCTTCTGCAGCAGCCCAAGGATGCCCAAGAGGACACTTGTACTCTCACTGCAGGGGAATGTGTCAGGTTGCTCCCATATCTGAGGCTTTTCGTGTGGGATTAGAAGAGAGATTGATGACATGATCTTCTCCGTCCATTAATGCTAGAAGTCTCTGTCCCCTGAAGGTCCACACAACTGTCCTGCTTCCCTGGTGTGATCAGAGCGAGATAAGAGGGGGTGAAGGAGGACACTGTTAGCCCTGAACTCTACAACAGCTACAGGCTACAATTCTTTTCTGTATTTCACTAAAGGCAGGATAATATATGACTTGCTTTATTTTAACCATATGAAGGATTTTTGGTTTGGTGCCAATGTTAATAATTGTCCTGCAAAGGCTTTGCTAAGGCAGCTGGAATGG